ATCTTAGACATACGACTTCATAATTTTCCACAAAGAAAATGCATCTGTGTAGCTGGTGCCCAGACCAAGAAATAGAATATTACCAAAACCCCAGATGTTTGCCTGGTGCTCTTTCCAGTCACTATCTCCCCTATGGTAACCATTAGTCTAACATCAGAGATAAGTTTTACCTCAATAACAACTTCCACATTTTAAGCAAGACTGAATCAAAATTTGATACTCTTATCACATGTGACTATTACTGCGAATGGCTAAGACTTATTGATCACTTTGTATATACCAAGCACAGCTCTAATTGCTTTACATATATTAACTAATTTATCCTCAGAACCACCCTGTGAAGTATGTACTATCATTGCTCCCAATTTTTCAATGAAGAACCTGGCATACAAAAAAGTTAAGCAATTTGCTCAAAAACACAGAATAGGTAAGTGGCAGAGCTGGCATTTGAACTGAGATAGCAAGTCTCCAGCATTTGTGCAAGCAATGCAAAATATGATATGTCAGTAGTTTTAAACTATTATGGTTCATTGCCTGCCTTTCGAAAAATGTGAATGTCAAAACAAGGGATTACTTGATATAGGGTCTCCAGGCAATAGGGTCAGGCAATAGTGCCCTTTATATTCCAGCGTTACATAGTTTTTGAAGATAAACCTGCCTGAATTCAAACCCCAGCTCCACCACTTTTAAAATGTGACCTTAGGAACTTACTTAACCCTTGTGTGCCTCAGTTTTTTCATCTGTAAAACACTGATAATAATAGTACCTACATCATTAAATTGTTGTGAAGTTTAAAGGAAACACTCCCAGAACATGGTATGAGCGTCATTCATTCATTCATCCCTCCATCCATTCAACAAATTTTTTTTCAGTGCCTACCATGTGCCAGGCACTGCTCTTGGTGCTCAGGATGTATCAGTGAAAAAAAAATCCATGGTCCCTGTCCTCTTGGAACAGCCTGGAAGGGGTGGGGATGGAGAGAACAGAGTAAAAACTCTAATATAGCATGTTAGAAAGTAAGTACTATATTTGTAAAAAAGTAGAGTCAGGAGTAGTGGAAATGATGCAGAGGTTGAAAGTTGACAGTATTAAACATAAGGGTCAGGGTAGGACTCACAGAAAAAATGAGATTTGAACAAACAGTGGAAGAAGGTAAGGAAGTAAGATATGTCAGTATCATGTACCTTTTGAAGAGCATTCAAGGCAGAGGGATCAAGTAGAATAAAGCCCCTAATGGTAGGAGGGCTCTTGGGTGTCCCCAGAACAAGGCAGCCAGTACTGCTGGAGTGGGACCACCAAGGCACAAAATGGCAGGAGAGGAGGTCAGAGAGGTATTGTGTGTTGGGGGGAGGGGTGGGCCCTTGTAGGATATTATAAGGATTTTGGTTTTTACTGCAAGTCAAATAGAGAGATTTTGTTGGCTTTTGAGCGGAATTATAACATGATCTGATTTCATATTTTATAATGTTCTCTCTGGATCTGTGTTGAGAATAGATAATGGGTGGGTATTGTGGATTGAATTGTATCCCTACAAAAGATATGCTCAATTCCTTACCCCCAAACCTATGAATATGCCCTTATTGGAAATAGGGTCTTTGTAGATGTAATCTAGTTAAAATGAGGCCATATTGGCCCTGGCTGGTGTGGCTCAGTTGTTTGGAGCATTGTCAGTAACCATAGGGTCACGGGTTTGATTCCTTGTCAGGGCACACACCGAGGTTGCAGGTTTGATCCCTGGTCCAGGTGCATATGATCCACAGTCTGGGTGTATACTGGAGGCAACCAATCAATGTCTCTCTCTCACATCAATGTTTCTCTGTCTAAAAAAAAAGGCAATGAAAAAATGCCCTCAGGTGAGGATTAAAAAAAAAAAGGTGCGGTCATATTTGACTAAAGTAGGCCCCAATCCAATAATTGATGTCCTTATAAGAGGAGGGGAATTTGGGCACACAGACACACATAGAGGGAAGACAGCTATGTGAACACACACACACATGCACACGCACACACGCGCACGTGAGAACACCTTGTGAAGACAGACAGAAATTGGAATAATGTATCTACAAACCAAGGAAGTTCACAGATTTCTGGAAACCAGCAGAAATTAGGAAAGACAGATTATCTTTCAGAGTCTTCAGAAAGAATCTACCCTGCTGAATTTTTGATTTGAGACTTTTAGCCTCCGGAACTGTGAGAAAAATAAGTGTCTGTTGTTTAAAGCCACCCATTTATGATACTTTGATATGGCAGCTGTAAGAAGCTAACACAGTGGGCAAAGGTTCAAGCAGTTAGGATGTTATTTCAATAGTCCAGTCCAGTCAAGAGTTGGTGGGGGCCAGGATCAGGGTGTTAATAGTAGAGATGATGAGAAGCCATCAGATTCTAGATACATTATGAAGGCACAGCCAACAGAATCTGTTGATGTATAGGATGTGAGGTGTGAGAAATACTATCTATTATTATCTCCGTGAATAATTTAAATATTTATTGACATGTAATATATACCTATAAATGTGTAGTTTTCATTGTCCCCAATATCCCAGGTTTGAGGCTCCTCAAACAAGGATAATTTGCCAGGGAAATCAAAAGAAACTTATTTTGTTGTGTGATCAAAGAGTAAATCACATTACTTCACTGAGTCTCAATATCCTACCTGGTAAAACAAGAAGGTTGGGCTCTATTGTATGACTGTATGATTCTATTATTATCAAGTGCCTTTGAGATGATAGTAAATGTTTTTTTGACTTTCATATGTGAAAATCTATCTCCAAGTCTACAGTGGCTTAGAATAACAAGATTCTGTCCTCATTGTTGTTGATTCTCTGCCATTTGATACTTTGAGTGAATTGAAAGGGGGACCCACCATATTTAAAAATAGAATTACAGCAAGACCAAATTAACAATTTGTGCATTTTTTCCAGGGACATGGGAGAGAGGTGGGTTTGCCTAATGGGAACCTGAAATAATGGTTTGGAATTCTGGACTTCAAGACTTCAGACTCCACTTCCCAGAGCACAGCCATCATCCCCATCACTGTGTTTATGTTTATATTTTAGGAGGGTAATGAATTTATAAGATGAGGTACCAATGATAATATCAAACATTTATATAGGGTTTGCTATGTGTATGTCATTGCTCTGAGGGTTTTAAAAATATTTATTCACTCAATCCTCACAATACTCTTATGAACCGGCTACAATTATTATCCCAATTGTACAAATGAGAAAACTAAGACACAGAGTAATTAATAAAGTTTATTTTATTACACTGATAAGGAATCATGTCAAACAAAACAGTGGGACTGTTTAAAAATAGTTAAAACAGAAATTGTAAATACAAGGTAATTTGCAAACTTAATATCAAGGAAAAGGTTTTGTCAGGATCCCACAAACTAATTCTGATGGGGTCCATAAGAAAATATACATTGACATTAGGCCTATCCCTGTCTCCAACGCTTGTTGATATTGGTTCTATAAAGAGGATAAAGGAAAATAAGGACTAGGCTTCAGGACCCTAAAATGCAACCTTGCCAGCTCCCAAACACCTGTTAGATTCCATTACCAAGAAGTTTTGAAGTTTTGAAATGTATCCTAGTATTGTATCTAAGTCACTCCCTTGCCTGGTCTTGATAAATTAGACTGTCACTTTTATTTTGTTTTGATTTTTTTAAATCCTTACCCAAGGATATGTTTCATTGATTTTAGAGAAAGGGGAGGAAGTGGGGGAGGGGAGAGAGAAATATCGGTTGGTTGCTTCCCATATGTGCCCCAACTGGGATGGAACCTAGGTAGGTGCCCTTCTTCGGGGATCAAACCTGCAACCTTTTGGTGTGCGGGATGACACTCCAACACACTGAGCAACCCTGGCAGGACTAGACTTTCGCTTTTTAAATGTGTTTCCACCTGTTTTCACCTGAGATTCTAGAGCTAATGTTTCCTTTCAACTTCATGTTTCGTAGAAAATACTAGGTTTCCTAAGAGTTACTATTATTACTATTTTGGAAACCCCAGTTCTACTGTTTCAGGCCCCACAACCTTTGCCAGCTCCATCTTTTGGTCAGGCCCTGGCTGGCTCCAAATGAGACTGTAACCAGTGTATGTGATTGAGTTGTTGATCTAGTTCTTAAAGCCAATGGAGGAATCAGCACTGGGCAACCAGTCTAATCTGAAAAGTCAGAGAAGGTAATTAATTATGCAACAAAATACAATGACCAAAATGTATAACATAGTGAAGAATATAGGCTTGTTCCCCAACCAAATCCTGGAAACTGTGAACAACTTTTGAAGCTCTAAGAGAGTAGTTGTGGAAGTAACAAAAGGAAATTATTTTATAGTGCCAGTAGTGTAAATTAGTTGTTCCCAATAAGTTTTAAATTCAAATAGGTGCACGAGAGATACAAGCTCAGTCTTCCACAGGGGCACAACCAGGGGATAATGCTCTCCTGAAACAAGTCCTTGGAGCCTTGTCCACAGGGAGAAATTCTGGCCGGACCATAATGCCGAGTGGCAGAGGTGTATGTGTGGGTGGGGGGTGGGATGCAACTGCTACATTGGAATGGACCCTGAACCAAATCCAGGCAATCTTCCAGAGATAATTCTTCTCAACAGCCCTGTTACTGACCTGCAGGCCTAGGGATTAAGTCTGGGCCAGTCCCTCTTTCCCTGACAATCGCAGTGTCCAGGGGTCTTTGTGAGTCACCCAGAAACCCCGTAATAAGCCCTCTGTGGGTGGGGCTGCCTCGCAGTGTCTCGCCGTTCCCCATCTTGACCAGCTCTCTTGAGATTTGAGCTCTCCTTTCCTGAGGCCAGAAGCCGCCGGGAGAACCGCCACACCAGGCATGCGCAGCGCTTGGCCTGGCTGTGAACGCCATTCAGCAGCACCCGGGTCCTTTTAAATCAGGCCAGCCGGTTGCTAGGCAACAGCGAGGCCCGCGCTGGCGCTGCACTGCGGAGGCTCTGCCAGGCGCCCGCCCGGCCTGGGCGCGGTGGCCAGCGCTGAGCTAAGGGCTGCCTCCGGACGGCGGTGGCCGGCTTTGGGGAAGAGGGGACTGGGACCACCGGACCCCACCTATGCCACCAGGTACGTCTGCGCGCGGGAAAGCCAGGCTTCTCGCGGCTCGTCGCCGTTCTTCCCGAGCTCGCCTCGCTATAGAGGACGGTCTCCCACCTCTACCCCACCGCGAGTTTCCTCTGCCTTTAGGCCTGGCGGTGGGGAGGGTTTGGGAGGGAAGGGAACAGGGGATGGGAGTCAGAGTGTGAAAGGAGGAGTGGGGTCGGGCCTCGCCCGCTGCCCCTCCCACCGGTGCTGCGTGCCAGCCAAACGGTAGGGACTGGGGATGTGGACGGTGTCACCTGCGGTGGGGGTCGAGCAGAGCCCTGACCCCAGCCACTTTCTCTCCACTAGAAGCAGTAATGGCAGGAGTTTCAGTTAACCATTTACAGAGAAAACCTCCAAATTATGTATGCATAGATATAGCTTTGTAGCAAGAATGTGACTTCCATGATAATAAAGTACTCAGCCTTCAGAATTAAGGGAACTCTGTCTCTTCTAGAAGGAAACATTTCCCGCTACTAACAAAGAATTGTTCACAGGACCCAGTTTTAAATGGCACTTTGCTTTGCTCTCAGTATCTGCCAAACAATAGAAAAGACTATTTGTCCTGTAAAGCGGGTACTTAGCTCATGTGTTAGGACTCTGAAAGATTAAGGCACGGATTGGAACACCTGCTTTTTTAAATTTTCTTTTTTTCAAATTAACTGTGCTCTGAGGGAGGAGGCAAGGCTTAAGCTCCAGCCTTTGCTAATGTGGCTCTTGGCATTCTCATTAATAACAAGTATACTGCTGCTTGCTGCAGTCACCATTGGTCAATAGATGCTGAAGACGAGGAGATGCTACTTTGTTTAACTCCAGTGCCATCATCATTCTTGTCCCATTTGACACTTGCATTGCTTGGGAAAGGAAGACTTAGTGGCATCATAGTTGGGAAAGTAGGTTGACAAGTTAAAAAGAAAACTTTCTTCAAAGTGTCTGCATCACATTTCAGATGGGCCAAATGACATTCAAAGTATATCACGTGTAATTTTAAGATGCACCTCAGACAGAAACACAGATTTGGGCATTCTGGTTAATTATATTTTCTAATTATGCTGGGGGGTTTTATTTTACAGTTCAAACTGGAGAAGGAGAATAATGGCATCGAATAGAAGACCTTGGATGTCAAGAAGTGTAAGTACAGTTGTGCTGGCTTATTTCTTGTTACAGTATTTAGAAGCACAGAGCCTCACCTAACCTGCATCTTCAACCTTGTAACTAGATCATTAATCTGCATTGTTAGTATACTATCAAGAAAGCCTCATAAAAATACAAAGTAGCCCTGGCTGGTATGGCTCAGGGGATTGAGTTCTGGCCTGCAAACCATAGGGTCGCCAAATCCATTCCCAGTCAGGGCACATGCCTGGGTTGCAGGACAGGTCCCCAGTAGGTGAGAGGCAACTACACATTGATGTTTCTCTCTCTTTCTCCCCCCTTTCCCTTCTCTCTAGGAATAAACAAAATTAAATTTAAAAAACACAAAATAAAAGTGTCCTGAAGATTTTAGCTGAACCAAACACACTTTGGGGAAAAAATAAAAGTCCTTTCCCTAAAATATCACACAAACCACTTCATCAGCCACAAGACAAATTAGAAGTACTTACAAAAATTCAATTAGAGTAAAAGCATTATAAAATTTTCAGGAAGAATATTAAGGATCACTTATTCAACAAATATTTACTGAGGGCTACTATGTATCAGATAACAGCTAGGGATACAAAGAGGAAGAAGATGCCAGGAGATCACAGTGTGTTGGTAAAATAAAAGTTTGTATGAAATACTGTAGAACCACAGGAAAAACTCAGAGTGCAGCATCATCCTTGCTGACCTTCAAACTGATACTCCAGTTGTACTATTTCTAAGAACTTGGTGGTGGCTTTGAAAAACACTGGGGAATTTGGAAAGTTCTTGGTAAAGCAATCGGTGATAAAAATGAAAATGTCTTTGATTGTTAAAAAAAAAACCAAAAACACTACCACTTCTCTGCATAAAGAACCCATTTAGCTTCAGAAATTTGGGGGCATAAACAACTTACAGGATTTAGGGCTAATTCTTTCCTGAGAATGCAGGTTAAATTAATGTAAGATTTGAGTTCAGGTTCCCCTCTCCTTACTGTAATACCACCTACATATTTTTTTTTTCAAATTGCCTTTTTCTGAGGTCTGATGACTTCAACCTGGCAACTTTGAAGCACACATGTTTGGAGAACGGCTGAGTTATTTAACTGGCTAGTTTATGTTCTAAAGGAGGGTAAGGGAAACATAAGAAATGAACAAGACCCATTGTTTACACAGTATACTTAAAAATTATTTCCATTTTCATTATTTTTTAATTTTTTTAATTTTTAAAAATTAAATTTATTAGAGTAGCATTGGTTAATAGGATCATATAGGTTTCAAGTGTACATTTCTTTTTTAAAAAAAGATTTTATTTATTCTTAGTGGGGAAAGGAGTGAGAAAGAGAGGGAGAGAAACATCACTGTGTCGTTGCCTCTCTTGCGCCCTCTACTGGGCACCTGTCCTGCAACCCAGGCATGTGCCCTGACTGGGAATCAAACTAGCAACCCTTTGGTTCACAGGCCAGCACTCAATCCACTGAGCCACACCAGCCAGGGCTCAAGTGTTCATTTCTATGATAGTAGATCTATATGTTGCACTGTGTGCCCACCACCTACAGTCAAACCAGATTCTGTCACCATATATGAGGTTCCCTTCACCCCAACTCCACACCCACTTCTCTCTGGTAACTCCCACATTGCTGTATCTTTTCACAAGTTTCTGTTTTATATCCCACATATGATTGAACTTATATAGTTTTTAGCTTTTTCTGACTGACTTGTTTCACTTGGCATAATATTTTCAAGGTCCATCCATGTTGTCGCAAATGGCAGTATTTTATCTTTTCTTAGGGCTGAGTAGTATTGCATTGTGTATATTCACCACATTTTCTTTATCCAGTCCTCTATTGAAGGAAACTTTGGTTGTTTCCATGTCTAGGCCACCATAAATAATACTGCAATGAACATAGGGGTGCATATATTTTTGTGAATCCATGTTTTTCAGTTTTTAGGGTAGATACCCAGGAGAGGGATTGCTGGGTCATATGGTAACTCTATTCTTAATTTTTTGAGAAACTACTATACTGTTTTCTATAGTGGTTGTACCTGTCTACATTCCACCAGCAGTGAATGAGGGTCCCCTTTTCTCAGCACTTGTTATTACCTGCCTTGTTGATAATATCCATTCTGACAGGTGTGAGGTGGTACCTCATGGTAGTTTTGATTTGCATTTACCTAATAGCTATTGAGGATGAACATCTTTTCATATCTGTTCACTGTTTGTATGTCTTCTTGGGAAGGGTGTCTGTTCAGGTCCTCTGCCCATTTCTCAACTGGATTGTTTGTTTGCTGTTGAGTTTTATGAGTTCTTTATATATTTTTGATATTAAACCTTTGTCAGAGTTGTTGTTTGCAAATATTATCTCCCATTCGGTTGGTTGCTTCTTTGTTTTGTTGTCGGTTTCTTTCGCTGTGCAGAAGCTTTTTTATATAGTCCCATTCATTTATTTTTGCCTTTATTTCCCGTGCCTTTGGGGTCAAATGCATAAAATATTCTCCACAACCAAGATCCGTATGTATAGTACCTGTGTGTTCTTCTATGTAATTTATTGTGTCAATTCTTATATTTAGGTCTTTGATCCACTTTGAATTAATTTTTGTACATAGTACAAACTGTAATCTAGTTTCATTCTTTTGCGTGTGGCTTTCCAATTTTCCAAGCACCATTTATTAAAGAGGCTTTCCTTTCTCCATTGTGCGTTTCTGGCTCCTTTGTCAAAAATTATCTGCCCATACACATGTGGTTTTATATCTGGGTCTCAATTCTGTTCCATTGATCTGTGTCTGTTTTTCTGCCAGTACCATGCTGTTTTGATTATCATAGCCCTGTAGTATAATTTGAAGTCCAGTAGTGTGATACCTCTAACTTTGTTCTTTTTTCTCAGAATTGCTTGAGCTATTCATGGTCCTTTGTGGTTCAATATGAAAATATGATTTTTTTGTTCTATTTCTTTAAAAATGACATTGGGATTTTGATGGGGATTGCATTAAATCTGTATATTGTTTTGGGTAATATGGCCATTTTAACTATGTTGATTCTTCCAGTCCATGAACACGGAATATCTGTCCATTTTGTTGTATCTATTTCAATCTCTTTTAATAATGTTTTGTAGTTTTCTGTATATAAGTTTTCACATGCTTTGTTAAGTTTATTCCTAGGTATTTTATTCTTTTGGTTGCAATTGCAAAAGGAATTTTTTAAAATTTCTTTTTCAGAAGTTTCATTGTTAGTATATAGGAAAGCAGTAGATTTTTGTATATTGATTTTGTATCCTGCAACTTCACTGAATTTTTAAAATATTTCCAATATTTTTTTAGTGGAGCCTTTAGGTTTTTCTGTGTACAGAATCATGTCATCTGCAAAAAGTGACACTTTCACTTTTTCCTTCCCAATTTAGATGCTTTTTTCCTTCTTTCTCTTGCCTTATTGTTCTGGTTAGGACTTCCAGAACTATGTTGAGTCAGAGTGATGAGAATGGGCATCCTTGTCTCATTCTTGATTTTAAAGGAAAAGCTTTCAGTTTTTCATCATTGAGTATGATATTGGCTGAGGGTTCATCATATATGGACTTTATTATATTGAGATACTTTCCTTCTATTCTTATTTTATTGATTGTTTTAATCATAAATGGATGTTGTATCTTAAATTCTTTTTGTGCATCTAATGATAAGATCATATGATTTTTATCCTTTCTTTTGTTAATGTGGTGTACAACACTGATTGATTTGTATATGTTGAACAATCCTTGTGTCCCTGGAATGAACTGCACTTGATCGTGATGTATTATTTTTTTTATGTATTGTTGTATTTGATTTGCTAGTATTTTGTTTAGGATTTTTGTATCTATATTCATCAGAGATATCGTTCTGTAGTTTTCTTTTTTGTATGTTATTCTTGCCAGGTTTTGGTATCAGGGTTATGTTGGCCTCATAAACTGTGTTAGGAACTGTTGCTGCTTCTTCATATTTTTGGAAGAGTTTGAAGAGGGTAGGTTTTGAATCTTCTTTGAATGTTTGGTAGACTTCACTGGTAAAGCTGTCTGGTCCTGGACTTTCATTTTTGGGGAGGTTTTTGATGGTTGCTTTAACTTTCTCATTGCTGATTGATCTATTTAGATTTTCCAGTTCCTCATGATATAGTCTAGGAAAGTTATATATTTCTAGGAATTTATCCATTTCTTCTAGGTTATTGAATTTAGTGGCATATAGTCTTTCATAATATTCTAGTATATCTGTGATGTCTGTGGTAACTTCTCTTTCATCTCTGATTTTGTTTATGTGGGTCATTTCTCTATTTTTCTTAGTGTGCCTAGCCAGGGGTTTGTCAATTTTATTAATCTTTTCAAAGAACCAAGCTCTTTGTTGTATTTTTTTGTACAGTCTTTTTGTTCTTTATCTCATTCGATTCTGCTCTACTTTTTCTTATTTCCTTTCTTCTACTGACTTTGGATTGCTTTTCTTCTTCTTTTTCTAGATATTTAGGATGTGATTTTAGGTTGTTTACTTGGGGTTTCTCTTGTTTCTTGAGATAAGGCTGTAATAATATAAACTTTCCTCTTATTACTACTGCTTTCACTGAATCCCAAAAGTTTTGATATGGCATATTGCCATTCTCATTTGTCTCTATATATCTTTTGATCTCACCTTTCCTTTCTTCTTTGACACAGTCATTTTTTAATAGTATGTTGTTTAATCCCTACATAGTTGTGGGTTTCTTTGCTTCCTTTTTATAGTGGATTTCTAATTTCAAGGCATTGTGGTGAGAGAATATGCTTGGTATAATTTTAATCTTCTTAAATTTGCTGAGGCTAGTTTTGTGCCCCAACATATGGTCTATCCTTGAGAATGCTCCATGAAATAAAGCCAAAGTGGGGAAGGATTGAGGGTGGGACGTGGGGTGGGTGGGGCAGGGGAAAGTGGTAGTGGGAAAATGAAGACAAATGTATTTGAACAATAAATTTTTAATAAATAAATAAATAAAATTTAAAAAAAAGAAAATTGAATGAGGTTCAGGGG